GCCGCCATGAACTTCACCAACGCGGGCCTCCCCAGGACCGCGTTGTAGGGCAGACTGAGGTCCGCCACATCGAAGTTCACCCGCTCCGTGCGGAAGTTGGCGGATCCACCGAAGGTGACCGGTAGGTCGATGTGACCTAACGGCCACGTGTGCCCCGGCGTCACACCGATAATTGGCTGGGACGGCCGGAGCACCATCCCCGGGGCCTTGATGGCTTCAAAGGCCGCAGGGGAAAGGATGTTGAGGGCCGCTCCCCCATCAATGAGGACACGCCCCAACTTCACGTTGCAAACGGTGGGAGAAACCACCATCGCAATCTGCCCTCCCCGGGCAACGCACGGTGGGTGGTCGGTCTGGTCGAAGGTGAGGGCAACCTCCGACCACCGCGCCCGGCGCGTCGCCTCATGAGTAGGGGCCGTGGCCAGAAGCTCTCGCTTCATGGCCTTGAAGCTCCGGCGAGAAACGTGAGCACACGCTCCCCCATCGACGGTAGCAATGGTGGCCCCAGGCTCTTGGAAACCTAGGTCATCATTGCCGTCATCGATGTCCTCGGCGGGGGCCTTCTGCTTGGCCTCACTTCGCCGATTACCGGAAGGAACCGCCGGGGATTTGCCCTCTCGGCGCTCCTGCCTCCTCTCCTCCTCCCACTTCCTCGTCCGCTCAGCCAAACTTTTGACTGCACGGCAGTCCGCGAGGTCGTGAAGGGAAGTATTGTGGACGGTGCACCACTTGCCGGTTGGGCGTTCCCTGTTGGGAGCGCCGGCCTCGTCCTTTTTGCCTCCCGCAGGCCTCCCCTTTCGGGTGGCCCGCGAAGCGCCCTCGACGGCGAGGACATGACCCTCGTCGTCGGTATGGGCTGACCTCTTCTTCCTCCTCCTGTCACGCCGCCCTATCTGAGCGGCGGATCCGGGGGCGGCCGAAGCTGCCACACCGGAACCGGAGGGGTTCCAGGTCCATGCCTCCTCCTTACGAGCCACTCGGTCCGCGAGCTGAAAAAGCTCCGCGGTAGTTTGGGGCTCCTTGGAGGCGATCTTTTCAAGCATGCGGTTGTGCCGCACACCCCCCCTGAACGCGTAAATCACCGCGTGCGCAGGGATGCATGGTATGGTGTTGCGGACTTGACAGAACCGCTGAATGTACGAGCGAAGTGACTCATCATCCCTTCGCTGTACTGCGTGCAAGTCCGCTTCCTCACCTGGGCGCGGATATGTGCCTTGAAAGTTCATGGTGAACTGTTGGCACAAATCCTCCCAAGAGTGGACAGACGCGGGTGGCAAGTTCATTAGCCAACCCCGCGCCTGTCCTTTCAGGGCCATGAGAAAGAAATTCGCCATGACCCTGTCGTCACCCCCGGCGGCCTCGATCCCGGTCGTGTAGACCTGGAGAAACTCGGCGGGGTTGACGCTCCCGTCATATTTTTCGGCGATGGTGGGCCGGAACCTTGGGGGCCAACGGACATTCCGAAGGCTCGCCACAAAGGCTCTACAGCCGACACCACCAACCGGGGGCACGGAGGGCTGATCCCCGCGTCCGTGGTGAGGCGACACTCCGGACGAGGAGGCGCCCTCCTTTGCGTGGGGAGCACGTCGGCCATTACGCCGACGCTCGATACTGATGCGGGCATCCGGTTCCCCACGCAGATCTTCCCGGGTCGGAGCCATTGACGAAGGAGTGGCGGCCGAATGGCGAACAGCGGCTGCCGCTCGCCGCGCCCTCCGTCTTGACGATGCGGAGCCGGTGGCAGCAGCACCAGAGGCCTTGGTGGCGGAGGACTGCCCACCAGCATCTAGGCGCTGCCGTGCAGTCATGACCAATTTGGCCACATCGTCCAGCCAACGTTGGGCTGGAGACTCCGGGTCATGGGCGACGGGCGGGTGACGTAGGAGCGCGCCCGCAGCTTGGAGCGCGCCCTGGGGCGTGCTGCCGTTGCCGTAGACGAGGAGGCGACGCTCCTCATCTCGCCGCCCTTCTCCACCTCCTGTGGATGTCGAAGTCGCGGATCCTTCGGCCCTCTCAAGTGCCTTCTCCCGCCTAGGACTTTGGCGTGGAGGTGGCGGTGGAGTACGAGCTCGACGACGTGGGTTTGGCTCCCCGTCGTCACCGCTCATACTCGGGGAGAGGTCGTGCGCCTTTGCTGGCTCGGCCATTGGGCTGAACAGGAAAAGCTTGGCGCACACGAAAGAGTGCGAGAGCTCAGAAAATCCCTCGCAGAGTCCCCTACCTGGCGCGCCAGATGACGGAGCGTGGGGCTCCTCACCGGGAGACCGCACAGGCCCCCCTTTGCCGGTTCGGCCGGGGACTCAGGGAGAGATTCTAAGCTCTCTGTATGTGGAAGGCTCGCGAGACCAGAAACACACAAGACACGGGCGATGTATACAGGTTCGGGCCGCTGAGAAGCGTAATACCCTACTCCTGTGTTTTGGGAGATCTGTGTATAAAGGAGCTACAAAGTATGAGCCAGCCTCTCCCTTGTTCTGGGTTTCTAATCTGGAAAAATCCAGTTCCACATCTCAGTGGGCAAGGTCCTCCTTTTATATCTTAAGGGGATACCACATGCACCATTTCTCTCTTTTTTGTGGGGGACTTACCCCACCTTTTCATAAACAGACGGAGACTTGTATGGTTGCCGTCCGAATGACCTTCTGATGGGACGGCCCATACCTACCTCCACTTCCGCCGGAAGCAGGCACGACGTGGAATCGTGGCTGTCTGCTGACGACATGACCGGTATCAGACCAGTCACGTCGGTCATTCTTGTCCACCACGTGTCAGCTTAGCAACCTACATGCTCACCCTTCTTCACACAACATCTTGCCTGTAATGGTTAGGATGAAGCCTGGCATATATCTGACCAGGACTAACGTGCCATCTCTGGGAGGTAACACGCTAGCTCCAGCTGGGGACGAGCGCCTAGAAGCTCTCGTCCTGACGGGATGGGGCGAGGCGTGCGTCAGATCGCCTGTCACCACCTAACGCGCGATCTGACCGGTCTGTGACTAGTCACAGACCGGATAAACGAGTGCACTGCACTGCGTTACATGCGGCGTGACACGCTCAACCAAACCACAATAAATGTGGTTAGGTGAGCCCCACTGTGCTCACCTAACCCATACGCGGAGCAAAAACCCATGAGGGGTCGGGGCGCCTCGGCCCTCGGGGCCGAGGGGGGTGCGGCCCGACCCCCTCGGGGGGACTAAGAGGAGGGCGAACGCATCACCCTCGGGCCCGACGTCCCTCGGGGGTACCAGGCCACGTGTGCGATTGTGTCTGCCTCAAACCTCTAGTCATGATACTCCTGATCCCATGTCACCGACACCGAGCTAGTTACGTCCTCATCATTTGGTGAGATATTTGATGCAAGAGAATGAAATGCTGTAAAATATTTGTGGGTCTCACTGTAAGGTAACTTGATCCGTGGAGAAAATGTTTTTAAAGGGCTTCATCCTATGTGTCACCTCGTGATCCTTTCTAACCCGGGCTTGCACTGTGAATGGTTAAGAGAACAAGGTACGCTTAATCCTTGCCAGGACTTATCCGAAGATACCCGCCACAGCCAGGCCCAACGCGAACGGAGTGCGATGCCCATTAGTCCGAGGTTTGGTATTCCCAGGTCGCCATACTGTCGGAGCGCACACCCTAGCCCAGGCGACTCGGCACTCAGCAGCAACCGTCATGAGCATGCACCTTGCCTGCCCATAGAAAGCCACGACTAACTTTATCTATCTCTCTTGATTACCCACTTGGATGCATCAATGGTGACCAGTAATGGCGCTCAGAACTGCGTTCACCGTGGCAGTGCCCGTCCTGGCGACCGGCGTCTCCATGAACAAATTCCGTTCAGTTTTCGCGACATGTTCTTGCGAAGTTTTCCTTGACAACGTGGAGGCTGTACTGCTGTATGCCTGTATTCATCATCTAGACAAGCCCATATGGTTAGCATGTTATTATCGCAGTCCTGCTGTTCAGATTTTTGGCCCAGCTTGATGAAGCAGGCTGTCATCCTATTCTAAAGAGATTATCAGGCTAATAGCATGGGCCTAAAGGACCAAAATTATTGTGGGCCTATGGCAGTGTAGCCTTGCTTTTTTCTTCATTCATACACGTCCGTTTTCCGGGTATTGCTAGTGGGCGGGTGATTGCTTCCCTCTCCTCCTAGCGATCACCCGTCCCTCCCTCCTAATACTCCTCTTTCATCTCTCTTTTTAACTTTTCTATTACATCATAAATTTCAAAATAAAATTAGTAAAAGAAAATTAGGAAAAAAAATCTAATATTCATTCATGTGCATAGACTTTATACCGTAAACTTTGCAGCATAAACTTTGTGTATAGAAATATTACATACATATAATGTTTGAATCCGAATTTGAATTTGAATCGGATATATAAACTTTTGACTTATAAACATTCGCTCTACAAACTTTAGGTGGATAAACTTTAGATGTGTAAACTTTAGGTGTATAAACTTACTAAAAGAGAAAAATATAAAGTATTTAAATTCGAATTTGAATTTGAATTGAGTATATAAACTTTTGACTTATAAACATTCGCTTTACAAACTTTAGATGTGTAAACTTTAAGTGCATAAACTTATTAAAAGAGGAAAAGAAAAAAAAAGAAAAAAAAAAAGATCGCTGGTAGCGAGCGGTCGCCCGTTAGCCTTCTCGTCCGTTTTCCTCTGTTGTACACTTGGTAATTGGTACTCCCCTGTTTTTCCCGATAAAATTACCCGTTCTTCGCTCGTGATAACTGGCGAAGTTGGCTTAGAAAGTCAGAATTGCAATTAAGTGTTAATGTTATCTCCTCTTCTGATTCAATTTAGTTTGTCTCAGTGAGCCCTGTAATAGCTGAATAAAATGACTGTTGAACATCTTGTGTTCACGTATCAGCAGTGAACAACGTAGACACAAAGTTGGTTCCTGTTGGTCGAAGGAGAAAAATACTGCTGAGTAGCAATACCTACGAGTGATCCGAAAGATGTTGAAGACCACTTGACGTTCATTGGAGTCGGTAACTGATCACGTAATACTGTCAGATCAACTAGAGTTTGCATCGGCGCCGTCACGCGGCCCACTCAGCTGCCAAATACTACTACGACATGTAGAAATATCGAAATACCGAAAATCGCGTTGCCTTCTTTCTCATCTGTGCCCATTGCTAGGGACCATGTGTATGTACAGAGATGTGCTACTACCACTACTATAGCAGAACTGCAGAAACCGTTCCAGGGAGACTGACCGGTGAGACGATCACGCACGCTTATATGGATGGATGATGTACAGAGAAACACGTGGCCGCACACGTACGTTACGCACGCACGCACGCACGCACGCATGCCCGGGAGCGGTTGCTGGCTTCGGACGGATGGATGGATGGATCAGACGAAGTCGTCCTCCATCTCCTGCATGGAGTTGCCGGCGGAGGCGATCTGGCGGTTGGAGGTCATCTTCTCGGCGACCATGAGGCCCTTGTAGCTCCGTATCTCCGCCCGCCTCTCCTTCTCCAGCCTCTCCATCTCCTCCCGCCGCCTCTTCTCCTTCAGCTGCATCTTCCTCTCCGCCTTCTCCGCCGCGTTCGACGCGTCCTTCTCGGCTGCGGCGTACAAAGGCCAAAGGGATTAGTCGATTTTAATTGTATGTGTAATGCCTGAATATCTGATCAATCGATCGATCGATGCGTGTCGTCCGTGCGTGCGTGTACCTTTCAGATCAGGCCGGCGCTCTACCCTGGTCTTGTTCAACCTGTTGATGATCTCATTGACGCGCTTCTCGACGATCACCACGCGAACCTGCCATGCATCAGTGATCAGCCAGCGTCGTGACACATCCTATTATTGCTGATGAGATGCAGCTGGTTTGGTGGATGAGTGGATCTCGATTAGATGCCAAAGGAAAGCATGACAGGAGATCACTGGCATCTGATCGATCGGCGGCAGCTACAACTTGCGGTGGCTGGCTAACAAGAGATGGATTTGCAAGTTGCAAGGCTGGTCACTCTCTGTCTGTCAGTGTTCCCGTGCAGATCGATTATGCAAATGCTCCCAAAATTGCATCTGCGGAATTGACACCCCAACCCCTCGACGAATCAGCTGGCGGCCTTTTCCAGTGACCCTTCGGAAACAAGAGGCGCTAGCTTCTTTTTCTTTTCTTTTTCAGAAAAATAAAACCCGTTTTCTATAATATATGGGCAGGATAATGTACGCCAACTCCAAAAGATATCAACAACTGTTAGTTCCAAAATGTATCTCCATCAAAATATGATGCAAAAGCAAGTTGAACGCAATAATGCAGGTTTAAGCAATTTGGTCCTAATAAAAAATATATATCTAGACAGCCTGTACATTACTCTGCTGTTTACATTTTGTTCCCTTTCCAGACAAATAATATTTTCGGTACCATGAGTACTTCGTGTATATGGCATTTTAAGCGATATTTTTGTTGAATTGTGTTTGATGAAACAGTGGCACTAGTCATAATATGTTGCAACATATTAACATGTTGGTGAAATCAAATTATTGCATAACTATATATTTTTGGAGGATAGACCCCTACCATTGATGTCATGATGGCTTGTTGGTGCTCTTAATAATGTAGTAGTACTAGTTTTTTTTTAAAAGATAATAATACTACCTCCGTCCCAAAATAAGTGCAGCCATATATATCCGTGTTCATCATTTTGATCATTCGTCTTATTTGAAAAATTTATGAAAAATATTAAAAAAATTAGTCACACATAAAGTACTATTCATGTTTTATCATCTAATAATAATAAAAGTAGTAATCATAAAAAAATTTCAAATAAGACGAACGGTCAAACATTGGACATGAACAGTGCTAAAACTGTACTTATTTTGGGACGGAGGGAGTAGTAGATAGCGAGCCTAGCCAGATACATATATATAGCCTGGATTTATTTAAATTATAAAAAATGCGCCACAATATTTTTTTCCCCGGAAAGAACACAGTATGTCTCGCATATAATGCACTTGTATGTTGGGTGAAAATAACTACCTTGTCACAAAATTGCTGTTCTAAAATGTAGGAAACGGGTGCCGCATTCTTTTCATCTACCTAACTAACTTGCTCATGTTATTTGCTCCATATGCCTCTACAAATACATTTTCTCGTAAAATTTTCTTCAATTGTATTGCTTGGATAAATTGTTTTAAACAATCAGTTATGTTTACTTCTCAAGATATTTAACTTATCCATAAGTAGATAATTCATGGCTCTGACTCGAGCAAGTTTGATTGGAGGGGGTATTTGTGTGTGTCTCTCTGCAACATGGACCTTCCTTTTACCAATAGTTTCTAACCTTGTAACCCCCTCATAGAAATCAATTACCTGCCATTGTTATGAGCATATATATGCTGCTGTAAATTTTTTATGTACAAAGAAGAGGATGTTAGACCACCCTAGCAGCTTACCATCCTGGTATTATGGAAGCCAACTTGACCGACATCCATGGATGGGGACTTCTTGAGATTGGACCAGGGCGTGTAGACCACCTCAACATTGTTCATCTTGTTTCCTGCACGACAAGCACATGCAAGCTGCAAATATCATCCAGTGATCCAAGACACATACTCGTCACGTTCTAATTATCACACAATCCCCTCACATAGGCCAAATCAACCCAAGCGGATAATTGATCCAAGGGGCCCACTGTAGCTAGTGCCAATAATACAAGAAGCTAAAAGTTGCTGAAAAGAAAAAGGCCGGGGTGGAAAAGCAAAAACAAAATTAAGATTCCTGTCTGTAACCAGCAATATAATGTGATGCTGCAGCTTTGTAGAATTGTAGGCCACACGAATATCCGACAGGTCACACCATGCTCTATTTCCTCTATCCGTGGATAACATAATTGGAGGTGCAAATGATTATCATTATTTGCAAGTAAACGTTTCCTTTTCTTTTGAGAACCTGCATCTATCCATGATAAATTCTTCGTAACTGCAGAATCTTTTGTGGTAAACTGTATCTACCCTACTTTTTTGCACGAGTGAAAATTTACTAGTTGATCGTTAGAAACCAAAAGAATCTAGCCACAAGCACACAAAGCAGATGGTGGAAAAGAAAGCTAATTAAGCTATGCGCTACCTCTACACTCAAATGTTGTCTGAAATGAGTGCGTACCTTGAATGGAATGAGCCTTTACAAGCTGTGCACAGTCCTCCAGCAGACCGTCGCAGATGCTATCTATCGACTCGCCTTTCTTGAGCCTCAAATAGACGTGCGCCGAGGATACCTTGTCCACGTGGAACCTGACGGGACAAAAGCAATTTTCCTTGTCGAAATTAGAAGGGAAGAATCCACTTTAAACCGACCTTTCCATCAAAACAACCAGTCGTACGTTTATATATATCTTTGTTCTTACTTCTAAGAAAATTCCTACAGCACTATATAGTTCATCTTAACATGGATCGGAATAAATATCTCTACATGTTTCAGATGAGGCGTAATTTGACGAATTAAGCAGAAAAGTACTTTTAAGCATTGGAAACCCAAGGAGATCGAGGTGAGGTCCCCTAGATGGAGGAAGCAAACAAAAGGCTGTGGTAGTGGTCACAGTAGTAGTACTGTAGTAGTACTAGTGCGGATGGCAGGCGATGGCTACAGACAGAGTTGCAACTTGTTGCTGAGCATGAGCAGTTACGTACTCCTCCTAGACGGGGTCGATCTGGTAGACATCTTTTATAGTAGAGTTTGGTCGTTGGGGGCGTTGGGATGTCCCCACCACGCCTCGTCATGGCCTCGTCAAAGCCTCAATCCTCCTCCTCCTCGCAGCTGCCGACCTGCCGCCGGCGAGCTCTCCTCTCCACCTCTCATGTAGCTGCCGATCGCGAGCCTACGCGTGCGACTAGCCGATCGTACGTGTGTACGCGCGCGAAGCGCAAACGCAAATGTGCAATGCCGCTACGCGAGGATCGACGACGAGCTACTACAGTACGTGTGCGGAGAATGCACGTACGTACGTACCAGACGTCCTCGGGGAGGCCGTACTTGATGAGCTCCTCGTTCTCGTTCTTGTCGGCGCCCATGTAGATGGTGTAGTCGCCGGCGTCCGGCCTCGCCTTGTAGTAGAACACCATTAGCAACAACCCAGCAGCAAAGCAAGCTCTCTCCTCCTTCTCCTTTCCTTCTTTTTTTTCCTTTTTCTAGCGAGGGCGAGATGGCCAACTAACTTCTTTCTCTCAAACAGGTTCAGCTGATCAGGTGAGGATGAGCTATTCAGGTGTGGGTTTGTCGGCAGGAGGGGCACGGAAAACGGAAGCAAGAGTTGGGAGGAGGAATCAGGAATGGAGCGGAGGCGCGCGGCAGCAGCGACGGAGCCACGGGCGGGTGGGGGTATATATAAATCAAGAGGGGGGGGGGGGGGGGGGGAGGGGCGAGCCGCGACTCCGCGAGCAGACGACCTGTAAACTGTTTGGAACGCAGGTCTACTCCGAGGGGTTGGGTCGCCACGTGGAAACACGATGGATTGGACTAAACAAATGCGGTTGGGGAGCCTGTGGAGGGGCCTTATCCTCGCCGGCTCGCTTTTGCGCCCCCACTCGCGCTTTTTCTTTCGCCTAATCTATTCTTGTTAATTAGCCTATCGAGAAAAACAACAACGAAAGAAAGTGACGGGAATCCCCCTGTTGTTGCTTAGCGCGGATCATCAGAGAGCCCATGGTAATTCAACCACTCACTGGTCGATCTGTCCCTGACATGGCAGTTTAGTTACCACTCTATCCAACCCAAACTTTCCTGCTTGTACCCAACATCGTGTTGACCCGAGTAATTCCCCTGTAACACACCGCCCCGCCCGATTGGTGGTGCCGGAAAAGCCCCGTACTTTTGCGAAAACGACGTCCGTTTCGACCCAAACCCGTCGCGTGCGCGCGGCTCTTTGTTCTCTCGGTGATTTCCGTGCGGAAGTCGCGGTTAGTTCGTTGTAGGTGACGACGGGGTTTTCGCGCAAGACCGCCGAGACGGAGGAGGAGATGGGCCACGGGAATATTTGGGCTGTGCGCTCGCGAGCGCGGCCGAAAGATGCATGCGAAAAGCGGGGGCCCGGCCCGCGTATCGAAGCGGAGAAAAACGACCGGACAGGAGGAGACGGCGAGGAGAGAGAGGATCATCTATCTGAAGCTGACTCATCATGCGGCGACCGGCACGCAACGGGACACCACCGGCCGGCCGTCTTTACGCGAGCGGCTGATATCCCCTAGATCCGTGTGAGCTGCTTTATCCGCTGCCAGGCTTAGCTTCGTCAATAGAGAACATATTTTTCTCATTTTTTTTAGACAATAACTTATTTTTCTCATGTCGTGGGAAAATTATGGGAACGGGAAAGACAAGAGAATCGCGTGCCAGTAGCTCAGAAGATCGGCCATCAATTGCGTGATCCACGTTCAACGGGGGGGAAATCAGAAAAGAGGAGAAACAATCGCGACAAAGAGGGGGCGCCAAAAGCTAATCCATTATGGACTCCTCATCCATTGGCGCTGCTGATCCAGCACAATCAGTGACAAACTGACGATGATCGTGACATACAGTGGAGCTTCCATGGCGTCGCATCTTAACCCATATTCGGTGATTACATAATATCTCATGATAAAATATAGCAATGTTTTTTGCGTGCTATTGCAAAAGTCAGCATAATACTAAAATATTAGCTTCTGCGAGTGCAATGGAGACTTGGAGAGTAGGACATGGACACTCATGCTAATTCAAGTCATTTTGTCAATTTGATCCTTCGTATGCAGGGAAACTTCGAACTGTTCTTACTTATATATCTTGATATCTGTACAGCTATACTGATTGTCATTATGTAAAAAAACCCATGTTAATCAAATAAATAGTAAATAAATAAATCTAGTCATCCATTTAGGCGGGATCAAATTACAAAGGCTTAGATTAGATGAAGAGTATATGCCACTAGCAAATGGCTAGTTACTGCGAAGTATTACAAAGTTTGGGATTAAATTAGTAAGGTTCCAAATATAAAATCATACAACTTAATACTGTAGTAGTTCTTAACTGTTGATCTTAAACTTTTTTTGAAAAAAAAGGTCTAAAGCCAAGTACAAATTTGTACGGAGGATATAAAAAAGGGTTTACTTGGCTGGAGGCTAACTTTACCACAACTCCATTATAGCCATAAGTGAAGCAAGCCATATTTTTTAGCCTTAACCGTGATAAACTTTCGCTAGAAAATAAGAGTACGACTTAGCTTAATTAACTGTGATACTCTCAAAGTCTAGCATGACAAACTTTGGCCGCCAACCAAACAATCAATTATTTGAAATATACCAATTATCTTATCAAGAAAAGTCGAAATTAAAGAGCACACCAAATACAGTTTTCCTCATATTTATTAGTTTTTAGTCCAAATCTATTATGACTTTCTATTTATTAATTCAAAGTCCATGTTAGATTTTTTTTTTAGGAGAAAGGGTAGGAGCTCTGCCAATTTCATTATAGAAGGAAAAGAAAGGATACAACAGCACCATGCATGTTTTTGGATCTAGATAAAGTCCATGTTAGAATTAAGAATCCACATCCGTTAACAATTATGTTTTGAAAAAAAATGGAATTATTAAATTAGTAGAAACTACACTTAAGATTTCAAAAGGAGTAGATACTTATTTTGTACAGAAAATAACAGAAAGGTATGTGAGTTGGATTTTGTGTATAGCTTTATATGTGCTAATTTTCAATTTCAACGTAGAGTAAATTTCACAAAACTACAAAATTTGATGGGCCGTATCACAAAAATATAGATGTAACATCAAATTTATCCCAAAATTACAAATTTACTGTTAATTTTATCACAGAAATATAATGAATGTAACTCCAAAAAAAAAAGGTGAGAGGGATCTAAACTCTAAAATCTATTATTTTCTGGAAATCACTGGAGAATACAATGGTCGGCTTAGACTCCCCATGCGATCAGATTGACAAAAAAAATATTTTTCAGAGCGGCGACTGACGGAGCGTGGGGCTCCTCACCGGGAGACCGCGCAGGCCCCCCTTTGCCGGTTCGGCCGGAGGCGCTGAGTGAGGTTCTTCACCCTCGATCTGTGGAACGTTCGCGAGAGAGCAAATGCACAAGACACGGGCGATGTATACAGGTTCGGGCCGCTGAGAAGCGTAATACCCTACTCCTGTGTTCTGGTGGATCTGTGTGTGAAGGAGTTACAGAGCAAATGGAGAGCAAGAGAGTTCAAGCTCTAGAACCCCCATTTTTCCTTCTCTTCTCGTTCTTTTTTACTCTCGATCTCCTCCCCCCTTTTTAGGTGGGCAAGGTCCTCCTTTTATATCTCAAGGGGATACCACATGCACTACTTCTACCTACTCTTCTTCTGGGTGGGGACCCACCCTATCTTGACCAAATCTTGACTCGCGCCTCCGCCTGGAAGCTAAATCACCGCTTGTCCTTGAGTGATGCCCAGCGCCGTCACTCGTCGGACACAGGGGATCACCCTGTCATTTCTTCATTAATAGGAGGAGATCTGCAATGGCCGTTGTCTGAATGACCCTCCGATGGGATGGGTCATACCTACCTCCACTCCGCCGGAAGCAGATGCAACGTGGGAGCACGGTTGTCTGCCGATGACGTGACCGGCATCAGTCCAGTCACAGACCGGTCATTCTTCTCCACCACGCGTCAGTTTAGCATGCCGCACATCTGCCCTTCTTCATACAGTGACTTCCTTGCAATGGTTGCGATGAAGCCTGGCATGAATCGAGTCGGGACTGACGTGCTAACTCCAGGAGTTACCACGCCGGCTCCAGCTAGGGACGAGTGTCAAGAGGCTCTCATCATTCCGACGGGACGGGGCGAGGCGTGTGACAGGCCGCCTGCTGCCACCTAACCCGCGATCTGACCGGTCTGTGACCGGTCACACACTGCGACCGGTCACGGACCGGATATGCGTGCGCCGTGCTGCATTAAATGCGGCGTGGCGCGCTTGTCCATTCCGCAATAAAAGTGGTTTGGTGAGCGCCGCTGTGCCCACCTAACCCACACCCGTGGCGCCAATACCACAGGGGGTCGGGGCGCCCCAGCCCTCGGGGCCGAAACAGGAGCGGCTCGACCCCTCGGGGAGACAGAGGAGGGGGTGGGCACGTCCCCCTCGGGCCCGACCCTCCCGAGGGGGTTAGGCCACGTGGGTGACCGCAGCTGCCCAAGCCTCTAGTCATGATACTCCCGGTCCCATGTCACCGACAGTAGCCCCCGGCGTTATGCCAGGGCGATCGCCCCCCTCGAGGGAAGCGCTCGGGCGTGACGCCACTCTTTAGACCTGGTGACAGGTGGGGCCGCTCTCTACAGGCGGGCAGGAACCCAGCGGTCGCAAATCGCGTGCATCGGCTAGGGAAAAACGACCGATAACAATGAGTGGCCTCTTCAAGACCGTTACATTACTCGAGTAGCGCGCGAATCGGGACGAGCAGGTTCATTTCGCCTGGAGATATGATGATGGCGCTTCGGTCGGCGAGCGTAGTTAACACGCGCACGATATGTCCCATCTTGACTGCCACGGCCGCACATCCGCCTCGTGCGCCGCAAACGGACGAGTAGGATTAGTGGAGGCGTGGGCGCGAGAAACGAGGGGGCGAGATAGTGGGCGCGAGAAACGAGGAGCCGGGCATAACGTTGGCAAGGGTATAAAGGCGCCAAGGAAGAGATTCGTTTCCTTCCTCTCGCCATTATTCCCCTTGCCTTCGCCGCTTGCGCCCTAACTCCTTGTTTCCTGTGCCCTACCCTTGCCGCACTCACTCGTTCTCAAGCTCCTCCTCCGCCGGCGTCATGGCACGGGGCTCCGCACCGCTCGACGGTAGCGTGCTGCCGCCTTCCCGCATCGTGAGCGAGAGGCAGGCCGGGCTGCCGCGCCGATTCATGCCGGAATCTGCCACCGGCCGGGAGGTGGTCGCGCTGGGTGAGGGACGCCCGGCGCCACACTACCCGGGGCGGTCCGTCTTCTTCCTCTCTTTCGCAATGGCAGGACTGGTCCCACCATTCTCTTCTTTCTTCATGGATGTTCTGGAACTTTACGATCTCCAGATGGCGCACCTCACCCCCAACGCGGTAATGACGTTGGCCATCTTCGCGCACCTGTGCGAGATGTTCATCGGGGTGCGCCCATCTCTCCGGCTGTTCCGGTGGTTCTTCACCGTACAGCCGGTGTCGCCGCCGTCGGTAGTCGGTGGCTGCTACTTCCAGCCGCGGGGGCCGGTGCTGAACCGCTACATTCCCTGCGTCCTCCGCAAGAAGTGGGACGACTGGAAGAGCGACTGGTTCTACACCCCCCTCGCCGATGAAACGCGCCTCCGACTTCCGAGCCAG